CGCCGCAGCATGGCGGGTCCGGGAGATGCGCTAACAGTCCCGAGGTAGCAGGGACAGGGACGCTCTGGAAATCGGGGATAGTTTGGAGACCGTGTCCGGATCAGGGCCATGTCACTGTCAGAAACCTGGGACTACCCCTCTTTTACCTTGTGTGTGCGTGCGGGAGCGCGCACGGCTCTCGCTGTCTGCACCGCACGGATCCTTAGTTTATCTCCTTTCGTATAGCGGACTTATTCGGGTGCGTCATTAACCTTCCTTCTCCCTAGTCCTTGTCTTATTCAAACCCGTAGCTGGTCTCTCATCTTTCTCATCAATCCTCGGGGCCCGCAGCTCACCCATCCTCGTGTTCTTGTGTCTTTAACTGGGAATCTTGTTTGGAGCCCAAAGTCCGAGAACTCAAGACCAGGCTAATCAGAAAGACTAATGATCTGCGGAATTTATTAACAAGGGCTTCACTGGCAGAACTGTGCCAGAGTCTAAGGCTTATCATAGTGGAAGGCGGTAGGACTTCAAGGACAGATGAATTCTAGCATGAACTGAAAAGAGACGGAGACAATTCGTAGAGACTGGAAGGCGGTAGCTTGGAAAAAGCTTATGCATAATTGACCAGAAGAACCTGGTGGGCTTGGATGGCTGGAGGCCAAAATAAAGGAAAATTGAAGAATCGAAAAATGGTTGTGATGCACTGCATGTGAAATTATGCCTTTGGCCTTGTAAAAGGGGGGCTAAAAAACCTGCCTGCTCTAAAATGTTCACCATTTCACTACAGTTTAACTTAGTGACGTCCTGGGGCATGACTGAGTCTACCTGCAATATAGGGTCATAGCAACAAGGGCTAACTATAAGGGATCAGACACTGTTCTGAGTACTTCACAGCTTTTAAATCTTTTATATATTATTTTTCCCCATTTTTTTTACAGATAAGGAAATGGAGGCACCACAACCATATATTGGTAGAAGTGGGATTTGAACCTAGGCAAGCTGTCTCTAGATCTCATGTACTTAAACCAGAACATTCAACAAGCTGCTTTGCTCAAAGAAAACTGGAAGGGCAGTTGGATTTAGGAAAAGGCTTTCATTTTATAAATGAAAG